TTATATATTGGAATTATATTGAATTAATGTTTTTACATTGTATAACAAAACCTTACTCTGGGTTACTCTTTGATTTCCTATTGAACAATAAAAAACAAAATGCTAACTTCTATTAAATATTTTTTCCAGTAAATGGATGGGTTCTACTGATGAATTCTGTCAATGCAGATCGAATCCTTTTAAACAGGAAAAACAATCTTCAGATGATTCATGTTGTCGAAAAACCAAGAAAATGCCGTGAAAACAAAGTTTCGAAAATCTTACTAAGACAGATGCATCTAGCACAGTGAATTCTTAAATCACTCATTTGACAAGATACATTAGTTTTTATCACTGGAGTTGACCTGTCAGATAGAAGAATGTTTTATAACTAATTTAACTACCTTTAGCGATGGATAGATAAAACATGAAGGGAGAGATTCTTTCTTAGAACGTGGATGATGCGCTGCTTACAGCCAAGATTTGGTCCTTTATATATAAATAGTTGCTGTGTAGTTTTCATGTTCAGCCCCTGCAACAAACACATGATTCTCTACAACCTCTCTGTCTTATTGCACTGTCCTCCCATATGATTCACGCCCCCCTCGCAATTCAATTCCCCATCTTTTGCATGAATCTCTCTTCTTCGTCTTCTTCCTCCTCCTCCTCCTCCACCTCTTCTTCCTTTCAAAAAAAGAGTGGTTAGACAGTGTAGGATAATGGACTCTGAAATCTATGGAGCAGCTACATTCTCACATCGGTCTACATTCCTTGAGGCTCGTACAAGAGCTAGCGGGGCAGGAGGGAGTCTTCTCACAGAAATAGTGCAATAACCACGAGGGATATATATTATCGTAGCATTTTGTTGACTTTCTCGCGTTTAGCTTGAAGATAAAATATTTTCCGGTAAGTTTATTGAAAGCCATGTTTTAAAGAGAGGAATTTATTTTTCCACTATAGAAAACTCAAATATTAAACATCTTGATTTGAACTGTTCATTATGCTATATGAATTGGTTTTATTGCGCTATATGAATCCATGTATAGACCCTGTTAAGGTCCGCTGCACTACTGTCATTAATTATTATAACCTTCTAGGACCATTGCAACCGTAATAAGATTGACATCCATGCTTTTGCCACCACTTTGTTAAAAAATCAATTTAATATTCGCTTCTCTCACCATCATTATCATAATCAACCATCATTATCTTAGGATACAATTTATATTACTTTTTAACTCACCCTCTCAAATGAAATTCCTTATAACTTAAAACTTATACATGTTCATATTATATTATGTTTAATTTTTATCAAATAAATAGTGATAGTGAGATTCAAACTCGTGATCGTTTGGTCATCAAGGCTCTAATACATTGTCAAAGAATCATTTCACCTAAAAGTTTAAGTTGTTAGGTGAGATTCTAAAATATGATTTATATTATTCTCTAACAATTATCGTCAAGTAACATAAAGGGCTAAATGCATGATTAAGTCATTGAAATTGTTCCGGGTAGACAAAGAGATCGCGGGGAAAATTGAGAAAGAGACAGAGAATAAGAGGACCACCATTTTTCCGGTCAAGTGTGAAGGAATTCATACTTCATCTGATTGATATAAACTCTATAAATTCATTAGAAGTTCTTAAAAACTACACTATTGAAGAAAACAGGGGATCGGAGCCATGCCTAAAAATAAAAATCAAAAAGTGATTTGATGATTTGTTGTTTAAAAGTGGATTAATATAGATTTCGAGGTTGAAGATGTGTTAATGAAGTTTATCTAGATGATTGAGAGGTGTTTCTGTTTGAAAATGATAAAAACTGGAGTTTTGAGGCAAAAAATTCTGACAACTCGTGACTCTTTAATGGTCAAATTTTAGCTGTTAAAGAAGATCATACTGTTTTTTTTTTTTTAAATTTTGGAGGGGCTGTGCACTTGGCCCATTCACTTGAGGGCCAACTAATGTAGGCCCAAATTAGAAGCGAGGCCCGCCCCACTTTTTTTTTTTATCTCCTAAAAGTAACCTTTTTATTTTTTTGGCTTCTTTTTTTTTTAATTTCTTCTCATTTTTAATATGATTTGATTATTTATTTAATCAATATTTGATGTAAATAAAATGACATATACTTTCACTTATTTCCTTTAAACAAATCCTTATATCATATTGAATATTGATTTAACAATATTTAATTGTTTTGGAATTTCTTTTTTCTTTTAATTTCATATAAATTTGATATAAGTTAAATTCATTTTAATTTAACTCAACCTTGATGTTATAAAAATAATTATACCAGATACTTTTAATTTATCATGATACACAAAAATAGGGATCTTTTTTAATCCCCCTTCCTTGATATAAAATTTTATATTAATTTTTCATTTTTTCTTCATATTTTAAAGATTTTAATTTAATTATAGGAACCCTATCAAATAATATTTTAAAAAATAAAAAAATAACAATAATAAAAATAAAAACTAAAGTTAATATAAAAATTAAATTAAAGTAAATTATAAGAGATAAAATAAAATAAAATATTTAAAATAAAACTATAAAAATAAAAAAAAATTGAGAACCAAATTTGTTATAATTAATAAATAATATGATATTCTTAAAATTTTTATAATTTTTGAAAATTGTTTTTTATCCAAAATAAAAAAAATATTTTATTAAAAATTTAAATAAAAAATATTGTTTGTTGATGAACTCTTCCAATAATAAGTAAACATGAAAGATTTTAGAAAGTAATTTTTAAGAAATCATTTCGCTAAACAAAAATTCCTTAAACCGGTTCACTGCATAATGCTTGATTACTTGTTGCGGAGACTTGGTTGCTCACCAAGATCCAAGACTTGGATCACGCTAAACCTAATATAAAATAAATAAAAAGCCCAAATTTATTACCGGAGTCGAACCTCAGGGCCCAAGGGGGTCGTGTCCTAAAATTCAGATCCACCTTTTGTCAAAATAATAATAACTTAAGCATAAGCGCTGGAGAGGAGGGGGAGGAGGAGGAGGAGAGCAAGTGCTGGAATTTTGATAGAAACAACATGGCAGCACAGCAGCAAGTGCAAAAGAACACGCTATACGTAGGAGGATTAGCTGAGGAAGTAAACGAAGCAATACTCCACGCTACTTTCATCCCTTTTGGTGACATTAAGGATGTCAAAACCCCCTTAGATCAAGCCACACAGAAACACCGCTCTTTTGGCTTCGTTACTTTCCTCGAAAGAGAGGACGCCGCCTCCGCCATGGACAATATGGATGGCGCTGAGCTCTATGGTCGTGTCCTCACCGTTAATTACGCCTTGCCTGAGAAGATTAAGGGTGGTGAACAAGGTTGGGCTGCCCAGCCAAGTAAGTATTTCTCCTTTATTTTTGTTTTAAACCCTAATTCTTGAATTTGTGATGAACCATGGTTCTAAGAGAAATTCCCATGCCTTTTCCTTGGGGTTTAGGGTTCTGGGGGCTGTTGGAAATTTTGTATTTTTAAGTGGATACAAGTGTAGGTGCACTTTAGGTTTGTGAACGAAAAGTAATGTGCTCTATACAAGTAAAGGGGTGCAATGCGCGGTGATTTTGATTGAGTTAGCCTCAATATGATCTGTATTATTGGTGATAATGATGGGCTAATTCTTGATTCCTGATTCCAAATGTTAATTGCATGTTCTAGCTTGCTACTTTATGTTGCTGGTTGGTGTTATTGTCCAGTTTCAGTTCTTGCTTTTCAATTTGAGGTAGAGAAGGAAAAATGTTGCCGCAACAACCAAAGAAGGATAGAGGAGTTTAGGACTCTTCAAAATAGCTATAATAGCAGTGGAAAGAATATCTCTTTGATGTGAAAATAATGACCGTGCTGTTGCTTTCCTTTGGGATGAATACTTGCAATTTATGGGTGATCTACACCTGTAGGGCTACCTAGCTGAATTGTAACTTGGGATTGGGATTAGTCATTCTCATAATGATATTTTACTGTTCTAAATGTCTTTCCGGGTACTATAAAGTTCCCAGTTGGATCTTATGTTTGTGGGATTGACTTGGTTCTTGAATTATTCAGTCTGGGCTGATGCGGACACATGGTTCGAAAGGCAGCAGCAAGAGGAGGAAATGCAGCGTATGCAGGCAGAGAACAGGGCTGCAATGGAAGCTGCAGAAGAGTTGCACAGAAAGAAGATGGCAGAGGAGCGAGAAGGGGAGAAGGAAGATGAAGGGCAGGTCAAGGATGATCCAATGGCAAGGGCTGAAGCGGAGGTTTTGAAACAGAACATATCTTAGCCAACAAAATGTGTGTTTGTGAAACAAATTATCTACAATGGCATGAAATGGTTTTCGTGCTCCCTCCCTCCGATACGTTTATGCAACTTACCACAACACTCTTGCAAGAGCTTGTGTGGTGCAAGGGATACTAGTATTCTCATAGTTGAGTATTTGCCTCTCGTGCCACTGCGTTAATTATTCTGTTTTCTCATTAGTAATAATACCATGATGATCTGATTTAAAGTTGACTCGGCGTGGAAAAAATAAAAATAAAAAATCGGATACCATACTCGGGCGGGCAACAACGCTAAATTCGAATCCAAAGACGACAAATAAGTCAAATCATTCACAAATTTTTGTTCTGAAATGTGTTCCGTTGTGTGCTAAACCGTCGATTTTAGGAACAGGTGATAGGCTGGTTTGTAAGTTGGAAAGCTGGGCATCTTAGATCCATGCTATCATTTCTCTCAGTTTAAAGTAAGGGCATTTCTCAACTGTCAAGTGGGCAAGTTGATTCGCATTATAACTCCGATGCCATTAGCCAAGACAGTGTGGCAGTAACTCGTGCTTAGAGTTAGAAGCCAAGTTCACAGGCCTTGTAATTTGGTGATGAAAAAGAGACTTGAATCTTAACCGTAGGCTTAGAACAAGGATCAATGGGAGTCATAACAATTTTTTGCGGAAGTTTGACCACGGAAAGTTTTGTAGAAACAAAAGGGAAACCCTGAAGTTAGGAGTTATGGCCACACACTACACAAGCACAAATGAAACCAGGCTGCAAAGAAAATTTAGACTACTAGATATCCATTAGAAAAATTCTACAATTTGACCTCTGCTTTGGCATGGTAGTCTTCTGCTCTCTTGAAAACATATAGTTGGCATAATGAAACACCAATCTGGTTTGCTCGATTTATACAGTTCCCCCCATGAGCCGTATCAAAAGGTATTCCAATTTTGCAAGATTACGCAAGAGATCTCTTGTACTTTAGCATTGCATCGCAGAGCTTAACAGCATCTAGATTATCTCTAACATTATGTACTCTTACAATGTTTGCACCTCCCAAAACCCCAGCAGTGACTGAAGCTACTGTTGCAGGATCTCTCTCGCTTGCAGTGGGACGAGTGCAAGTTTCACCTAAAAATTTCTTTCTAGAAGATCCTAACAAGACAGGAGAATGAGACATAGCCAAGCTTTTCCTTGCAATCTCTGCTCTAATGGATGGCAGCCCCACGAGAAGTTCCAAATTATGTTCGGTTTTCTTTGAAAATCCAAGCCCGGGATCAATAATAATCCTCCAGACAGGTATACCAGATAATTCTGCATCTTTAACCCGTGAATACAACTCAGAGGCAACCTGCTTACAAACATCATCATACTGCAGGTTCTCGCTACTCTGCATCGTAGCTGGGTCTCCTCTCATGTGCATGGCAACATACGGAACCTCAAGGCCAGCAACAACCTTAGTCATGTTAGGGTCTAACTGTCCACCAGACACATCATTTACTATATGAGCCCCCTTGCTGACTGCTTCTGAAGCAACTTCTGAGTAAAAAGTATCGACAGATATGAGCTTTCTGTTCATCTCAGGCATCTTTAGAATGGCTTCTAAGACAGGGATTAGTCTATCTAATTCCTCCTGAGCGGATATCCTCGAAGCCATTGGTCTTGTTGATTGCGCACCCAAATCAATCATATCTGCTCCTTCTGAAATCATCAAGCGGACTCGAGAAACCGCAGCCTCCACAGACTGAAACTTTCCTCCATCACTAAAACTATCTGGGGTCAAATTAAGTATACCCATCACAGAAGTTTTCAGGGACCAATCCCACAAATCATTTCCAATGGGCAGGACTCTTTTCATCCCATCCTTTCCAATTATACAGTCGCCACCCAGTTTCTCCCATGATTCAAAGAGACCACCAGAATGTATTGACAAAGAATGCCAGCATGCAACTGTATCATTTTCTACATCTGCTCCCAGTAAATCCATCAACGGGGCCATTACAAATGGTCTCTCCCAAATTCTCTCATGAGGAACAGTAAGTATATCAGAACTAACCCTGAACTTTCCGTAAAACAATATATCCAAATCAATCGGTCTTGGTCCATACCTTATCCCCGCAGCACGACCCATATCCTTTTCGATTTTCTTAAGCACTCCCAACAACTCATGTGGCCAAAGTTTCGTAACACCTCTAACCGCAGAGTTAAGGAACTGAGGCTGATCAGTGACATAGGCAGGCGCTGTCTCATATAAACAGGCATGTCTAGTGATGTTTATTCCAGATTTCTTCATCAGTCGCAAGGCTTCATTAAAATTATGAAGTCTGTTGCCCACGTTGCTTCCTAAAGCAATCACTACTTCCTGCTCTTGTGAATGAATTTCCACAAATGTTTCTGGGGATGAACTGAAAAAGCGAAAGGAAGATCCTGCAAATAAAACACAGCCTTAATGACTTATTTACTAATTGCTACATTGACTCACTTCTATTACCAACTCCTATTCTTAGTTACCTAGAACTGTTTCACACAAAAGTGTAGTAGTAAAACACATACCGCGTTGATTAGATAACATTAAGATGAGCAATTTTCCGGAAAGATATCAAATTGACCAGATTCAGCGCATGAATTTAAATGCCAGAGTATCTAATCACTTTGGCGTCTGATGATCTATCTATCTCACAATAAAAAAAAGTGTCTAATTAACATGATAAAAGAAACACATCTTACCTCTGAAGTGGTTCAAGGCACCACCTAGCCCACGTTTGGTGGGCAGCAGTTGCTTGAAAAGGATCATATCAGCAATGAATAACGGTGCTGGTCTCTCAAAATAAGAAGAAGAAGAAGAAGAAAAGGTTAACGTCAGAGTTTCTGCCCCTTCTTGAATCCGTGGAGTTATAAAGCATCCATTAACAACGTAATCAAACGAAACCCAAAAGAGAAGAAGAAAGAAAAAGAACAAGCACCCACCGGAGTGTTGGAAGTGTTAAATATAGGAAACCAAGAGAGAAGCAAGCATTCAAATCTCGTTGTTTTATGTTGTTTCCCTGGCGCGCTGGTTCGTTTTTACAGGATGAGGGTGCAGATCTTCTTTATTCCTAATTAGAATTAAAGCAAAAAAAATATATTATTACCACTCCATCTTTCTCCTGCAACTTAAACAATATTTCATCTTTACCCTTTACCCATATAATGAGCACCATCATGGGGGTAAAATTGAAAGCCTATATATTATAAAGGTATAAGTGAGATGTTGATCAATTTACAAGAATGAAAGTGAAGTTTACGCTATCCTCTCCTCTCGCCCTCTACAAGTGATCTTTACTGACTCGTTTTCTTAAACCCCAGAACCATTTTGGGGTCTAGACGCAAAAATCCCACCAATCCATCAACAAGTTCGAGAGCTCTTTTTTTTTTTTTTAATAAAATTATTATCATTAAATTTCTCTCCGTCTTTCTTCATTGCAATGGCGTCTCTATCTTTCACTCACTTCCTTCCACTGTCCAGGTTCTCTTTCTATCTAAAGTTTCACTCTTTAGTTACTGAGTTTTTTATCTTCTTTCTTTCAACTTCCATATTTGGATTAGTATTAGCTGCTGAATCTTTGATTTCACCTTTACACTTCATTTTAATCGATGGGTTTTTTATTGCTGGTTACTGGATGTGTGTTTTGGCCTTCGTATGTGAAGATAATCCTCCAATATGCTTCATGTCACTTGAAAGCTGTTTTATCTTAATTTCTAAGATGGGAAAAATAAGAAGAAAGGATGTTGTTGCTTTGCTTTTATTCCACTTACAATGTAAAGTTGCAGCTTTTTCTTATTTGTTGACCGAAAAAAGGAGGTTTATTAAGGGCTTTTTTAAATTATTGTTATGTTTACTTCTTGGTAACTTCTGTTTGGTTGTTTTTTTTTAATCTTTAAATGTTCAGGTGGCAATTGAATTGGCCAAATCATCAGCGGCTGAACCTTGTCCAGCTTCAGGATTTTAGATTGCAAAATAAATGGGGTCTTGCAGCTATCTCTAGGAAGAAAATTTCAGAGGCTTTACCTGAAGAGGAACCCGGTGAAAATGGCGTAGTTGGGAAAAAAAAGACAACTAGGACTGGTACTAAAAGAACGACCTCACGAACTAGGAAGAAAAAAGTAGCCGATGCTCTTGAAGAGAATTCTGAAGTAGTGGGGACTCATGATCCTACTAATGAGAAAAGTGTTGTGTCTGAAGATCCCAAGAAAACTCGAAGGAGGACTCGACGAAAAGGTACAAACCTTATTGTAATTATTATTCAGTGAATGTTATTTTTATAGTAATTTCTAAAACTCTTGGTTTTGTTGCCCACAGATGTGTCTGCTTCTACTAGTTTGGAAGAGTCGTCAACGGAGAAGGTCAGGAAGAGGAGGGCAAGAAAAAAGATGGATGAGGATGTAGAGACTCAAGATAGTGAATCTGAAAATAGTGATCAGGAGCAGTCAGAATTTGTTACAAATTTGGAGGATGAGAGTGATGGAGACCTGGAATTAGATAAAGATGACGGAGAGGATATCACCTACACATATGATTGGCCCCCTCTTGTTTGTTGTTTTGGAGCTGCACAGCATGCTTTTGTACCCACAGGAAGGCCAGCCAGCAGACTCTTAAATTATGAAATTCATGACAGAATGAGGGAAGCTTATTGGGAACCTGAAAAATTTATGAGGTCTCCCGGGGGGTCCGCAGGAGGTGTTGCAGTTGCTCTTGCGAGCTTGGGCGGTAAGGTTGCTTTCATGGGAAAACTTGGAGATGATGAGTTTGGTCAGGCAATGCTATACTTTTTGAATGTGAACAATGTTCAAACACGATCAGTTCGCATGGATAGTAAAAGATCAACAGCAGTATCACAGATGAAGATTGCCAGGCGAGGTCGCTTGAGGATGACTTGTTCCAAGTCCTGTGCGGAAGATTCTCTGTTGAAGTCTGAATTAAATATTGATGTGCTGAAGCAGGTAATGGGCTGGGAAGAAATAACATCCCCAACTCTTAATGCTTTGTGCCTCTTGTTCTTTGTCCTCTTGGTTGTGGTTATATGAAGTTACTGTGAATCAGTAAATTACAGCGTTATTTCATTAAAAATGATATATGTGTTTGGGTTTCTAAATGGACCTGGTCTTTGCAAGACAGATGATATGAAAAATTCAACTTCCGTTTCTATAATCATGTATATGAATAGAGTAATTAGATACTAATAGATGGTCTTGTCATTTTAACGTAGAGAAAATTGCCCGAGAACTGATTTAAATACCACAAAGCAATGCTGCATTTTTTACTCTCACGCTTGTTGGTTCTCTAAAACCCCAAGAGAGGGATTTGTTACTCACTGTCATACTATTGCTTCTGATTTCTGTGGCATGAAATTTCTCGGTGTTTATGTGAATTCTGTAAAATTGTAAAATAGCATCTGCTTCTAGCTATGTTTTCTGCAGTTCAAGGTCGGTGACCATGGTGTTCAGTTTTAATTGTTTGATGAAATCTCTTCCACAGGCTTTATTTCTCAAGGATTTAATCACATTATTAATGAGCTTTTATCCAGGCAAAAATGTTCTACTTCAACACCCATTCCCTGCTTGATCGGAGCATGAGATCAACTGCATTGCGAGCAATCAAAGTTTCAAAGAAATTGGGAGCAGTTGTTTTCTATGATGTAAACCTTCCCTTGCCACTGTGGCAGTCGAGTGAAGAAACCAAACTATTCATACAAGAAGCATGGAACCTTGCGGATGTTGTTGAAGTTACTAAGCAAGAACTTGAGTTTCTATGCGGGATTGAGCCTGACGAGGAATACAACACCAGAAATAATGCCAAATCTAAGTTTGTCCATTATGGGCCAGAAGTTGTTGCACCACTTTGGCATGAAAATCTAGAGGTTTTGTTTGTGACAAATGGCACTTCAAAGATACATTACTACACCAGAGAGCACAATGGAGCAGTGCATGGCATGGAGGATCCCCCCATTACCCCTTTCACTAGGGATATGTCAGCTTCCGGAGATGGCATCACTGCAGGTACAGTATTATGCCCATGGATATTTTCGCTAAATTACAGCATGGCATGGAGTAGGGTATTTTTTAAGCTTATATAAGTAGAAGCAAGAGCTGTTGAGTTCTTCGTTTTTGTGATGTCATGCTCCTCCACTTGAAGACTGCTATCGTATGCCACGTTAAAATATAAAAAGGTCTTCAGAGACAAAATAAAGTATGAACTGAACTGTATTATGGGTTTTAGATTAACTGCTGAGAAAGTGTTCTGTTCTGACTTTAGAGTCCAGTTTATCAGTTCGTATAGTAGGCTGGTCTGAACTCTCCCACCATTAAACTTTTACGGGACCAAAAATAGGTAATGCCCCTCAGTTTGCTAGTTGATATTGCAGTTGGGGTAAAATGCATCTGCTACATTGTTGAGAGAAAACAATCTGAGACCTTTTTTTATTTCTTTATTGTATTCATGAAAGCATGCATTAAGATGTTCGATGCTGTTTAGGCATTGAATTTTAATCGTTTCATATCTGTCTAACCTAGTTACAGTACTAATCTCTTCCCAAAAATCCATTATTTTGCTAAGCTCATTATACTGTTGTGCGTGCAGGTCTACTGAGAATGTTAACTGTTCAACCAGCCCTTGTTACCGATAAAGAATACTTGGAAAGCACAATCAAGTATGCAATTGACTGTGGAGTTATCGATCAATGGCTTCTTGGACGGACACGTGGCTTTCCTCCCAGGGAAGAGATGGGAGATGAAGTGGAGCCTGATGAAAATGGCATAAGGTCAGTAACAGAAAAGGAATACCGCACTTTGGAGAACGATTCTGATCCGGAAGGCTACATGCCACCACCAGAAATGGAATGCTGCCCAGTGAAGCCTGTTCCAGATGACACCAGTTCGAAAACAGAGAAGGAATATACGTACAAGGCTTCTTGGATGTAGCATCAATTTTGTATTTTACGGATACCATCTATCATCACAAATTACTGTTTGCCAAACTCTCCTCTCTTCATTTTCTTCAGCATAGGCCGGGCATCGAATGCCATTATTCCTGCTTTCCAGGGGAGGGCATAGGAAAATATTCCGCTTAAATCCAAATATAAATTTCTTAGTAGTCTGATTAGGCTCACCCAGGATATGAATTATTAACCCTGCATATCCTACCCATTGGAGCAAACGTTCTGGGTTCATGGACACCTCTTGATTCAAAATATAATTATTTGAAGGGTTGAAATTGGTGCTAATAATTATTCTCTCCTTTTAATTGGTGCTAATAATATTTTTTTCTTTTGAATCAAAAACTGAAAAATAATAAAAATAAAATTCTAAACTAAAATTGACATTTAAAAAAAAATTAAGAAATCAGAGGACCTAATATTTTATAATTCAAAGTACATGCGGACTCCAATGAACATTTCATGAAAAGGTAAAAAAATCAATTATTTATTTGTTTTTTTTCACTTTAATATCTTATTTTTTAATCTTACCATTTCCTAACAAATCAACTAAAATCTGGCCTTCAATTTGGTCTTATAAAGTTTAAATCAAAAAACAAATAAGTTTAGGGGAAAAAAAATTACACGTCTACACTGGCTTGGGGAAAGCCTAGACGCTGTCACCATTATTTAGTGTATGATAATTTGGAGTAGGTGAATAGCTAATCTTGATTTCTGTGGAAAGTGATGTCACGTTTAAGGCAGGATTAGGTTTCAGATTAATCTTCTCTCCTTTTATCTTTTATTCCCTGAATATTTATTTCCCTTGAACGCTGTGATTATCAACTGCAACAGGAATGTACAAGAAAATGGCTCTGTAGCAGTTGATTGCTTTTCTGTCATTCACAAGCTATTAAAAATGTCAGGGTCACGTGATAAAAAATAATATAAAAAAAAAGGAGTGAAGTCCTCCAGAATGTCATGGAACTTGTATTCTCTATGTGAAGCAAAAGAGAGGATCTGTTTAACATCCCAATGGGCTGGCTATCCGACGAACTACTATCCCACCATCGCAATCCAACCTAAATGAAACCAGAACCGGAAAAAGCTTTTGCACTGAGGCCCCAACTTTATTCTTCATACAAAAAGGATAATCACATTTCTCCAAC